CAGTGGAGTCTGATTCTGCTCTTCCTGATGGGTAAGTTGATCTGAAACACAACTAGACTCTCTGGTTTCTGTCACATTACCCAGAGTTGGACTCTGAGGAGATCTGGATGACTTGTCACACAGAAATTAAAATGAGAACACCTGTTTTGATTTTGCAAAGACAAAGTGATTTAATCTAGCAGTCATTGTTTAGTACTAAATAAATGAACATGTTTCATGTTCTCAGCTCAGTGTTGCTTCATGGACTGTCAGCTCTATCAGTTTCTCTACATTAATGAGAATAAGACCTGGACTGAAGCTCAGCAGTACTGCAGAGAGAATCACACTGACCTGGTCACAGTGACTAACATGAAGGACATGGAGAGACTCCTCAGCATCTCAGCTGGAGATTGGATGGACGCTTGGATTGGTCTGTATGATCAAACAGAAGGTGACAGAAGACAGTACTGGTCTCTGCCTGGAGTGGAGTTTGATGACAACGAGACAATATGGAACCCAGGAGAACCTAATGTTTGTGGAAAACGGGAGAATTGTGGGTTATTGGTAAATACTTCTAAATGGGGATATGCGAGTTGCTCTATCCAAAGATATTTCCTCTGCTACAATGGTGAGTATCACTGTGATAGTTTGCTCTTCCTAAATAAAGCAAGAAATGCATATATCATGTGACGTTAAAATAATGGTTTACTCTACAGACACTAATACATCCCATAAATATCACCTGATTAAAGAGAGGAAGTCCTGGCAGAAAGCTCAGAGTTACTGCAGAGAGAATCACACAGACCTGATCAGTGGAACGAAGCAGCTACAGGATGAAGAAGTGGAAAAAGCGATGAAGTCTACACACAGAAAACCATTCATTGGTCTATTCAGAGACACCTGGAGGTGGTCAGATGGAAGCAGTTTCTCTTTCAGACACTGGAATAAAAACTTTAAAAATGTAGAACACAACAGAGATCAATGTGTCATGGCTGTGCCTAGTGATAAAGGCAGATGGAAGAACGAGAGCTGTAATGGCAAGAAACCCTTCATCTGTTATGATGGTGAGTAATGTTTTTTTATTCATATAAAGACATTCATGTCAAAAGTAATGTAAAAAATCAGATTTGAAACAATTAAACAACTGATTACAACATATTTTCTATGTACCGTTTTGTCAATGTATTTAGAAAGAATTTAATAATTCATGACATACAGGTGTACATCCACATGTCTATTTAAAAGATGGAATTTGAAAATGTTTCCCTGGAACCAAAAATACTTTTTTTTCTGCCTTTTCCTGTTAAATAAATAAATAAATGCCATTAACTCTTTTCTCCTCACAACCATGAAAGATAACGTGATCCTGATTAAAGAAAATAAAACCTGGGAGGACGCCTTGACCTACTGCAGAGATCACCACCATGACCTGGTCACCATCACCAACATGGATGATCAGAGGTGGATCCAGGAGAAAGTCAAGAATGCATCGACTGATTATGTCTGGATTGGTTTGCACTACGCCTGGACTCTTCATTTCTGGTTCTGGGTCAGTGACGAGGTGGTCAGCTATGAGAACTGGGCCTCATGTCCAAAGATGGACAACTGTGATGTGTCTGGAGCCATGGAAACGAGAGGAGGACATAAGTGGCTGGAAAAAAAAGACAGCGAGACGTTTAATTTCATCTGTTCTAAATACTGAGATGTTAGCCTTTGGCTTTTGATCGTTTTGTTCCCAAAGTTAAGTTTAAAATTTCAGCTCTGGAAAACACCAAGAGCCCCTGCACTGAACCCCAATGAAAACTTCCTGGTTATTCCACCAAATATTGATCTCAAAACATTATATTGTTTTTTCTCAATGAATATGAACTTGTTTTCTTTGTATTGTTTGGGGTCTGAAAGCACTGCATCTTTTTTGTGATTCTCATTTTCTGCAGATAAATATGAAATTTTCGCTTGGAGTTTCGGAGACATGTTTTCAGTAGTTCATAGGACAAAAAGAACAATGTTCATTTGACTCAAACACAGACCGATAAAGAGTAAAATCAGAGAAACTGGTTATTTTTAAGTTGTCTCTTCATTTTTTCAGAGTTTGTATGTTGGATTATGTGAAGGAAATATTTTGGGGTTATTTGTTTGAAGGATTAAATCTGCTCTTATTTATTTTTTTTTTCAAAGTGCTGTTTTGCTGCAAGTTACTTTTAAATCTTTGCAAACATACTTAGAATTGTATTTACATAAAAAACAAAAAAAAAAAACAACTGATTAATTGTTATTAGGAAACTAATATTTCTACCAAGCTTTTACAACTATAATTATTCTTTAGGGTTATTTTACTTTTCTTGTGTTTTTTTAATTCAACATTTATACTTTTCTCTAACAGAACATAGTTTACATTTTATTCACTTTGATCAGCCAATTATTATATTACATTCAGCTCTCTATAAACAATCAGTAAGTATGTGGAGGATTAACTAGAACTTGTTTATTCTGTAAATAGATCCTGATAGGTTGTGTAATCTTGTTTTAGCTTCTAAGTAAAAAAAAAATGCTGTTCAGTTTATTATCACTGTTTTAAATGGATTTAAATATTAATAATTTGCTACGACATTGTTATAAAACAATAAAAGCTGTTGAGTCTGAAGAAGTTTTTTTGTCTTTTCTTATGTTTTAGTCTGTGAGTCAAACATCATGTCTAATTTTACATGTAGACTTACATTTTTTTTTTGATGAAGCTTAGTTTAGGTTATCCTGACTTTCATCTCCTACTACTCTCAAATTTTCATTATTTCTATTATTACAAATGTTAATTCAATGTTTTTTTTTCTTTCCAAAGAAGCCACTTCTGGTCTGGCGTTCTGATTGGCTGTGATGTCTCTGTTAAAATCATCACACGAGACCTCATTTATTTAAACTGCTGCATGTAGTTCAGGGGTGTCGAACTCCAGTCCTCGAGGGCCGCTGTCCTGCAGTTTTTAGATGTGCCACAGGTACAAAACACTGGAATGAAATGGTTTAATTACCTCCTTCTTGTGTAGATCAGTTCTCCAAAGCCTTGCAAATGACCTAATTATTCTATTCAGGTGTGGTGCAGCAGAGACACATCTAAAAGTTGCAGGACAGCGGCCCTTGAGGACTGGAGTTTGACACCTGTGATGTAGTTTATCCTACTAATCAATACACAATGAAATATATAAAACAATAGACTCCAAATGTAAGTTTTGCAAAAAAAAACATCCAGTCATTTATTCTGGAACTGTCATATCAGAAGAACATTTTGAATATCATTTAATGTAATTTCTGACGTTCGTAATACATTTTCAGTAAGGTACGGCCATGTTGTTTTTGGTTTTCATAGAAAGAGTACACCCATCAATTTTAATATTCAAAAACTTTCTATCCTTTTCCCTGATCTACTAGTTTTGCATTGGGGAAAAAAACAGCTTCCTGGTTGAGAAGAGAGGGATCTGCTGCCATTATTTGCATCTGCGTATGTTTGACATTTCCTGTTAGCAGCTCTAAAAACACGTCAAACACAAACATTTGTTCATATCGACTAAAAGTACCTCAGCTGACAGAGGCTGATTTAGAGAAGAAGGATCATACATCTGTTACGTTTGAGCCACAAAATTCAGAAAAAGGTAAGAGTTTATTTCATAAGATTGTTTAAGTTAATAATCCTGTTCAGTAATCCACATTCCTCGGTTGCATTGATGGAGGAAGAAAGCAAAGTAATCAGAACAAGAAAAAAACAACAGTTGGTGTGATTATGGTAAACTGGTTTCATCATACTGGTTTTGAAGTTTGGGGTGGTTAACATCATAATTTGAAAGATGACTTTTGAACAAAGCATAAAACATCATCCAATTTACTGTGGAGTAAAGCAACTAGATGTAGTTTTTTGTTCACTCTTTATGCTTGTCTTTTTTTTTTTTTTTGTCCAATTGATTTTTTTTCTTTGTTATAATGTCATGTTATTTTTATTTATGCATAGAGAAAAGTTTAATTATTTTTTTCCCCTGTCTTCATCTCTCTGCTCTCATTGTTTCTCTGTCCAGTGGAGGGAGAGCTGCAGCTTTTCACTGTTTAAATGTTCTTCATCCAATAGAGACAAACTGCTGGAGGAAAATAATTCATCTGACAGCAAAGATGCAGTGGAGTCTGATTCTGCTCTTCCTGATGGGTAAGTTGATCTGAAACACAACTAGACTACGAGGAAACAGAGATACCTCTTTACAATCAAGCAGAAACTTCAATAAAAGTTCTAATCATATTATTTTGAAACTTATAGCCTATATTGTGTATTGATGAAATCATCCTAATTTAATATCACCATTGTTTATGTTTACAGCTCAGTGTTGTTTCATGGACTGTCAGCTCTATGAGTTTCACTACATTAATGAGAATAAGACCTGGACTGAAGCTCAGCAGTACTGCAGAGAGAAACACACTGACCTGGTCACAGTGACTAACATGACGGACATGAAGAGACTCATCAACATCTCAGCTGGAAAAATGAAGGAAGCTTGGATTGGTCTGTATGATGAAACACATGGTAACAGAACTTGGTACTGGTCTCTCCCTGGAGTGGAGTTTGATGAAAGTGAGACAAACTGGAAAACAGGAGAACCAAATGATGGAGTAGGAAGTAAAGTAATATATCAGAACTGTGTGATTGTGGATAAAAATCTCAAATGGATAGACACTGATTGCCAAAGTTCAAATCATTTCCTCTGCTATAATGGTGAGAATATTAATCTATTTATGAATTATTTTTATATGTGTTTTGGCCAAAACAAGATAAACATAAATATGTTTGATTACTTCACAGAAACTAATACAACCCACAAATATCACTTAATTAAAGAGATGAAGTCCTGGCAGGAAGCTCAGAGTTACTGCAGAGAGAATCACACAGACCTGATCAGTGGAACGAAGCAGATAGAGGATGAAGAAGTGAAGAAATTGATGAACTCTTCAGACAGTAAATCATACATTGGTCTGTTCAGAGACACCTGGAGGTGGTCAGATGGAAGCAGTTTCTCTTTCAGACACTGGAATAAAAACTTTAACAATTCAAAATCTGTCAGTGGTCAATGTGCCATGACTGTGTTTGAGGATGGAGGCAGATGGAAGAATGTGAACTGTGCTGAAAGAAAACCCTTCATCTGTTATGATGGTGAGTGATATTTTTGTCTCACTTAAGGACGTTAATGTCAAAAGTCATGTAAGGAATCAGATTTGAATCTATTAATATTTTCTACGTAGCTTTTTCTCAATGTATTTGTGCATATCTTGTGATGGGGTTTTATTATGACTTGGGAAACCAAAAATGATTGGCCAAGGCCGGAGATCACTTCAGTGAAATTCATTGTGCTTTTTTTCACATGAACAAAGATGACAGGTGCAGAATATATACAAAGGACATCCAAGGCAGGTTAAAAACAGACAACCAGCAGTACCTTCAGTGCAGGAGTCCATCACCGTCAGTGTGGCTTGTCAGGAGTCCAACCACAGACTGACTCCCTGTGGCGCAGAGCCCTGCTTTTAAAGCCACAGGCTCCGCCCACGGAAAGACAAAACAAGCAGAAATAACTAATCAATTACTTCTAACTCAAGTAAACTCTTAAAGCATACATAAATAATAAACAATACCAAAGAAAAATATATATAAATAAATAAACCTGTGATCAAAAATGCAACAATCAATATAGAAGACACTCATTACGTTCTGATGACATCATGTGACTCCATCCCGGCGCCACAATCCGGAAACAGCCCTGCTTGAAAATAGAACTGGGAAAATATTTGAAGCTGAAAATAACAGGTTAAGATGGATATGTTAACTAAAGCAAGTTAGTGATTGTGTATGTTTGTGTGTATGCGTGTGTGGGCGTGCTCTCATGCTGACACAGACTCATAGCTAAGTCGCGGCTCGTGACGGCTCCTCTGTCACAATATCTCAAGTCATCTGCATCCACACATCTGATTAAAAAAAAAAAAAAAAAANAAAAGAATTTTAAAAATTTTTGAAAAAAAAAATA